CCCCCCCCCCCCCCCCCCCCCTTTTTTTTCTTTTTCCTTTTGCAATTCTCAAAGATAATGTGAGATCTCACATCGGTTGGGGAGAAGAACGAAGCATTCTTTATAAGGGTGTGGAAACCTCTTCCTAGCAGACGCATTTTTAAAATCTTGAGGGGAAGCCTAAAAGGGAAAATCCAAAGAGGGCAATATCTGCTGGCGGAGGGCTTGAGCCGTTACAAATGGTATCAAAGCCAGACACTGGGCAATGTGCCAGAGAAGAGGCTGACCCCGAAGGGGGGTGGACACGAGTCGGTGTGCCAACAAGGACGCTAGGCCCTGAAGGGGTGGATTGGAGGGTCCCAGATCGATTGGAGAAGGGAATGGGTGCCAGCGAGAACGCTGAGCTCCGAAGGGGGTTGAATTGTAAGATCCCAAATTGGTTGGGGAGGAGGGTGTGGAAACCTCTCCTTAGTAGATGCATTCTAAAAACCTTGAGGGGAAGCCCAAAAGGGAAAACCCAAAGAGGACAATATTTGCTGGTAGTGGGCGACGTAATTAATTCTTAGCTTTTCCTGAAGTTTCTCTAGTAAGGAATGAAACCCGAGATGCATTTGCCAAATCTTTGCCAAATCTGTGAGTGTTCGAGTCCCTTGTACTCAATCAGAGGTTTGAAAATTTAGAAACTTCTAGGGCCTCAACAGGTTTCCATATACATAATTTGACAGCCAGAAAAGAAGCTTCCAAAAATTGATTCTATGGATTTATGATATTGGAATACAACCTTGCTCATATCATCATGTTTAATTTCTTGATTTCTGTATCCGCAGTTATTTGTTGCCTGGTGAATGGTCACGTTGTTGCACTGGATTCAAACGGATCTGTTTCATGGAAGGTGACATTCTTTGTTGTTACATTCACATTCGTTTTTTTTTTCTTTATTGAAAATTCTATGTAAAATTCTTCATTGTGTGTTCATAAAAAATTATCTCCTTCAGTGTAAAACTGGTGGTCCGATATTTGCTGGAGCCTGTATATCCTCCGTTGTCCCTTCACAGGTACATTTTTGCAGTATCCTCACAAGTTCTAGTAAGAAGTTTGCTTATAAATATTTGTTTCAGGTGCTCATATGTTCCAGAAATGGAAGCATTTATTCTTTTGAACTGGTAAACGCCATTGTAATTATTTTTTAAATCTTATTTCCTTCTTAATTTTTTAGTACTTCTTACTGGCAAAATCCACACTTATGCTGCTAAATCACTATGAGAAGTAACAAATCTTGAAATCTTGTATTCTCTGTTGGGATTTACTCAGAAAAGTGGAGATTTAGTGTGGGAGTACAACATTGGTAATCCGATAACTGCATCTGCTTGTGTTGATGAACAGCTGCAACTTGTGCCTGAAACTTCCAACTCCTCAGACAGGTATGAAAAACAATTAAGAAAGGAAATAAAACTGAATTGATTGATAATATCTATCTGTTAACTCATTAACTATAATGGGTTAGTCTAGGACTATAAACATAATAAAGGATTTAGGTGAAATTGGTTCTAAGTCATGGTAGCCATCCATCTAGGATGGATTTTAATGTCTTACGAGTTTCTTTGTAACAGTCCAAATCCACCGCTAGTAGATATTGTCCTCTTTGGACTTTTCCTTTTGGGCTTCTCCTTAAGATTCTAAAATGTGTCTATTAGAGAGGGGTTTCCACACCCTTATAAAGAATGTTTTGTTCCCCTCTCCCACCGACGTGAGATCTCACAATCCACCCCCTGGGGGCCAGCGTACTCGCTGTCACAATAGCTGGTGTTTGGCCGTGTGGGAAAGTCTAAAGAGGACAATATATGCTACCAGTGAGCTTGAGCTGTTACGAATGGTATCAAAGCTAGGTTTTGGGCGGAGTGCCAACGAGGACACTGGCTCCCAAGAGGGGGTGGATTGTGAGATCCCACATCGATTGGAGAAGAGAACGGAGCATTCCTAATAAGGGTGTGAAAACCTCTCCCTAGCAGACACATTTTAAAACCGTAAGGCTGACAGTGATACGTAACATACCAAAGCAGACAATATTCTGCTAGCGGTGGACTTGGGCTGATACATTATTTGTCAACCAATTGTAGTAAGGTTGGGTGATTCTTCTATTAGAATAATCGCGACAAGCTGGTTTGAATACTCACTGATATCAAGTGTGTGTATATATATCATCATGGCGATCAGATATGATTGAAGCTGAGGAAAAACTAATGCGTCTTTCAGGCTGATTTGTGTTTGCTCCAGTTCTGGAGCCATACATTTGCTTGGAGTAAAGTTGAATACAACACAGGAGGGAAATTCCCAGAACACAAATGTGGAAGAATTTGCAAGGATGGATCTTGAAGGAGACATATTTTCTTCACCCGTTATGATAGGTGGACGCATTTTCGTCGGTTGCCGAGATGATTATGTGCACTGTGTTGTGATTGGTAACCTTAATACCAAAAGAAATAGTAATACACACTGTAACTAAAATTTTGCCACTTTTCTATAGCTGTTGAGACTAAAATTATTTATTAAGGCTATCACGATTAGTCGTCTCGTAACGATCAGAGGTTCTAACTATTTTTGTCGTTTCTCCCTCATGCATCCAGTGGTTCAAAACTGCTAATCTCAATGAAGCAGAATTCTACAAAATTTGTAGGTAGCTTTAAATTCTGTCCCGAGACTTAAAAAGGTTTCGTTTTTATTATTAAACTTTGAAAATTCTCATGAAAGTACTCATTTTTTTTTTCATAGAATGTGAAGCATAAATGTGATCGGTTGACTCGAAAAATAAAATAAAATCAAGTCGACTAAATCCCGAACCCTAAAATTAAATAGGTTAACTTTCAAGTTTTTGAACTTATAAGAGGAAATTCACAAATATATATATATATATATACACACATACATACATATTACTAGCGGTGGGTTTGAGCGGTAAAACATCGACCTTTAATTGGTTTTTTTAGAACGTGCTTCAAACGTCTCAGATTATGGCTTCCAAATTAGGGTTTCGATTTAAGCACTTTTTTTTTTACTGTTTTATACACTTTGTTTCTTTGAAATTATATTCTATCCACCCTCCTTCTGCCCAGCGTTCTCCGACACTCGTTGTCTTCTCCAATCAACGTGGGACCTCACGATCCACCCCCTTTGTGTCCACCTCCTTTTGGGGCCTAGCCTCCTCGTTGGCACATCGCCAACCTGGTTCTAATAGAGATATATATGTATATATATATATATATATATATATATATAATATTTGTATATGTAACTAGTAATTTTACCCTTGAAATATAGTATGGTTATGCAAAAGCCCGCCGGCGGGTTAACTTCTATTGCTGAATTAAACGAGGCTCTATCTCTCCCTCTCTCCGAACTCCATCGCCATCGTTCTTCAATCCTGCATCCGGTCGTCCAGTGGTTCTTCCGCACGCTCTAAGCTCCAGATTGATCCAGGTAAACAAATGTTCATATTCTATAATTTTTTTTACTCCTAATCGGCGCCGAGAATCTGGTGAATGGGCGTAAAATGGTTGTTGGGTTTGTGTACTGATGATTGAGTCATGGTCGGAAACCCCCCAAAATCTGAAGAATCAATATGCCTCTAATGTTTCACCATTGCCCAGTTGTATGGATGAAACTAGTTATGGTTACCTGATAAGTTGAGTTCGATCAGGGACAAGGGCACCAACTGTTTGAAGAAATGCGGCAGAGAAATTGACCTGTGATTGAGAACCGTTCTCTGTTAGGGGGTCACGCCATCTCTTTATTTTCATTCTTATGTCTTCAATTTTCTTTTCAGTTCGAGGAATGGCGAAAGGTATCATATGGGCAACAGCAGAGGATTTAGCGAGGAACAGAGGGCGTGTTATATCTCTTTATCGCCAGATATTGCGGAGCCTCAACTCCCCAAATTTGCCTCTCAGCTTCGCAGCTAGATTAGCAAAGAAGGCAGAGGTTCGTGGCATTTTCTTGCTTGCTTCTGAAGAGCGATCTCTTCACAATATTGAAGACCTCATTGACACTGCTGAGTACTCACTCTCTCTATTAAGGAAGGGAGAAATTCCCAAATACATTCAATGAGTAACACTTGATTCTCTTATGGCAATTTTATGTTAGATGCCTCTTCACCTGCATCAGTGAGTGATACTTGTGCTTGCCCTTGCCCTAAATTTCTTATAGTTAACATTTGGGTTCTGCTATAATGTTTTGTATTGAATGCTATGCAAAGGAAATTCATCCACTTGATGTTAACCTATGCAAACATTAAGGTTTAGATTCTATTTTGATCCTTGGAGTTGTGTCTCTATATATATGTTGGCCCTTTCAAATGTTCTTTTAAGTATTTGGTTAAAAAAGTTTAAAACCCATGCAAACCAAATTATTTTAGTTGAAAACCATTAAACCACTCTCAGTGTTGTTATGGGGATTTTGTTTTCCTATATTTGGAACTCTGTGGCTCTGAAATTTTATGGGAAGTATTGCATTTTAATTATGCTAGTAGAAGAGTTTTTTTTCCATTATCATGGTGGATAGGGGCGTGGGAACAGCAGCAAACTTACAGAAGAGGGGCTGGGCTGCTCACATTAATGGCAAAAGCAACAGCAAACTCAGTGGTTTTCCACTCAAAATAGGTAATATCTGATATCTCTGCTATTCGCTATCATATATGGGTACCTATCTTTGCCTTCCTTTGTGTTTGTGGTAAGCTTCTTACACTGCATTGGGGCACATATGAAAGCCATTATAAGAAAAAGAAGGAACTTAGGGGAAAAGAGACAACTGACTTTAACTCTTGTTTCCTGTTTGTCTTGTTTTTGAATGATTCTGTCGTCAACAATTTATTAGCAAGGAAATGAAGTAACAATATTGTTTCCTGTTTCCTTTCATTTTCTTGTTAGAGTTTCTCCATCTTGTTTATATGATGAATAATTTCTGTATTAGTTCATTCTAAACAGTTTTTTTTTTTTTTTTTTTTTTTT